GCATTATTAGCAAGCTATACAATCCCCTTGGTGGGCCACATGCACCTCATTTGCATGACCCCACCCAATCATTTGGTGGGAGTTACAAAGACGATGGCTGGAAGGGCCATATTAATTCACTGCACCGCATTGTGGTTTTGATTTACATTTGCCTAATGACTAATGATGTTGACAATCTTTTCATGTGTTGTTGTCCATTTATATATCTTCTTTGGAGAAATGTCTATTCAAGTCCTGTGTCCATTTTAAAATTGGATTCCAATCAGTATAATTTTAACTCTTCTGGAACATTCATTTAAAAATGTACATATACTTTTACTGCTTTTTCTTGATATACTCATTTTAGACATTATCTGTGGGTGTGTGAATAAAAATTGACACAAAGCTGATCCCCAAAGTGCAAAGATAATTCACATCCCTCCTCTCCTACTTCTCCATCTCTGACACCAGTCACCCACATGGCATTTTATTTCCTTCTACCCTAACCACCCAGAGTTAGATGAGACCTCACACCCGCTATCCTGAGCCAAGTCAAAACATCCCTGGACACCTGAGGTCAGGTCATCAGGGAAAAACCAAAGGCTCAGTAGTCTGCACAACTCCTTGTACTTCAGACCAGCTGGCCTCTTTCTATCTCTCTCTAGTCCCCTGGGACTAGGCCACAAGCTAGAAGGCTTCTGTCTTTCTTCATTGTTGCCCATGCAGCCTTTATCACCCAGCCATCCAGAGCTGCATCTACACAAATCAACTCTGTTCTGCCAGTACCTGCTGGCTCATTTCCCCTGTGAGTTCTGTAATTTGCTAGAATGACTCACAAAACTCATGGAAACTATTACCTATACTTACAGTTACCCCTTTATTATAACCAGAAAGGATACAAGCATAGAGACACATCAGGCAAGGTCTGGAAGAGGTCCCAGCACCACAAGGCCTCCATTGTCCCCAGGGAAGTGAGGCTTCCATTGTCCCCAGGGACGTGCTGCACTCTCTCCTGTGCATAGATGTTTTCACCAATCTATGAGGCCTCAGAAGAAAGCATTCCAAGGTCCCAAGTCCCCTAGTCACTGGGAGTTCAATGAATATGCATGATTTGGGCCTTAGGACATAGTTATGATTGATCCAGTCAATGAATATGCATGATTGCATCAGGCCCCCCTCCCTTCCTGAAGTTAATTAGACAAGTGTGGGGCCTGTGTAGCCCCTACTTGCTTGACTGTTTTGGAAAACAAAAGCATCTTGATTGTTCAGGTTATTTTTAGAAACCATTGTCAAAGGGTCAAACAAGTTCTTTGTCCTACAATGGGCATCTTGCTATGATATTGAAACTGCTATGATGCTAGCAACTAAAGCGCCATTTCACCTCACCTCCAGGCCCAACATACTTAAACTAATAAATTGTTGTAAATAATGTAAGTAATTTTCCCTGTACATGCTATGCTGTGATTATATTTCCTTTCTTGTACAACTTTTTGCTTCTAAATTTCTCCTTGTTTTTTGCTCCTTGCATATCTGATTTTTCTGACTTCTTAAATTGTTCCAAATTACCAAAGATAACATAAAATCTCAAGTATCCATTTTTTTCCTTTAGCCCTAGTTTGCTCTCTTCAAACTGGACTAGGCCTCAGCTGTCATCCAAGGTCTTCTGCTCCTGCTCTCTTGGATTGTATCCTCTGCTTTCAAGATTCCACATCTTCCTCTTTTAGTCTGAAATGGACCATTTTAATGGTTTGTGACATTGGGCTACAAGTACCAGATGCTCTCATTCCCACATTTGGAACCAGGCAGAATGCCAGAAGAGGCTCTCCTGCCTGCCCAGGGTACACGCAGAGCCTCTCCTTTTTGTTCAGAAATCTTCGTTGCTGATCAAGCTAGCACCTTTGCAGTCAAAATTTCTTTCTATTTTCTGGCCTTACCCTTGCTGTTTTTCATTTGGAATACTTTCCAGCTTTTGGTGTATATACCATTAGAAGTGAATCTCCTTTTAAACAGAATCAACTTTAACTAAAGACAAATTATAAAGAATATCACCTGGACCCCAAAACCTTGTTTATTCAGGTACTATATTGTAAACAGAGGAGCCCTGGTGGGGCAGTGGTTAAGCATTTGACTGCTAACCAAAAGGTCAGTGGTTCAAACCTACCAGCCACTTCGCAAGAGAAGGATGTGGCAGTCTGCTTTCATAAAGATTTACAGCCTTGGAAATGCTATGGGGGCAGTTCTGCTCTGTCCTATAGGGTCGCTATGAGTCAGAATTGACTCAATAGCACCTCTGCTGAGAAGGCACTAAGGATAGAGAAGATTTAAGAAGATTGAGCTAAATGATACACTTGACAGTTAACTAATCAGATTGAAACAAACTTTCAAGTAAGACTAAAACTTTGTTCCATCATAAGTGACAGTAGTGCAGTGAATTATGTAATATGGCCCTTCTAACCATAGTCTTTGTGACTTCCACACAGTTATTGGGTGGGACCATGCAAATAAGGTGTATGGAACCCTAATGAGGTGTGGTGGTTAGTGCTGTTTGTCGGCTTGGCTAGGCCATGATTCCCAGTATTGTGTGCCTATCTTTCTTTTTGTGATCTGATGTAATTATCCTCCATTTAATGTGTTATAAATCCTAGCTTCTATATGTTAATGAGGCAGAATTAGTGTGGAGTGCATCTTGAGTCACAGCCTTGCAGGAGGGCTCAAGTCCCACCCTTACTCGAGTCATGCACTTCCCTGGGGTGTGGCCTGCATCCAGTGTATGTATGTGGGTACGCTGGTGGGGCTCTCTCTCTCTCTGCTTCTGGATCCTGCATCTGGCTTGTCATTGTCTGACCTCTCCTTCTTGGGACTTGAGCCAGCAGCCTGCTGTCTGACCTGCCGATTCTGGGATTCACCAGCTTCCACAGTCCCATGGGGCAGCAGCCTATCATCTGACCTGATTCATCAGCTTCCGCAGCCTTATGAGCCAGCAGTCTATCATCTGGCCTGCCGATTTGGGTTCGTCAGTCCCTGCAGCCATGTGAGTTAGGAAAAGCCTACACCGGACCCACAGATTTGGGACTTGCTAGCCTCCACAACCATGTGAGCCATTTCCTTGATACGGTTTGTGAGTTCTGTGAGATGTTGCAGTGAATTATGGAACCCAACTATGGAAGGGAGAGTACTGAGGGGCGGGGGGAATAGCTGACGTTAGAGATGATGGAGTGGTACAGCAATTTGGATAAGTTGGACATTTGGGAGATCTTTAACCTCCACCTCATAACAACTAGCTTTGTGCTGATCCTTATAAATTATTCATTTAGTGGCTGATGTCCAGTGTTATTTTTCCTGCCCTCATAAAAATAAAGATGCTCTTGCCTTCAAATTGTTTCATTGACCATCAAGTTGTAAATGTTTGTTCAAGCATCCTGATCAGAAAATTATGAAAAATCATAAAACCTAGAGAAGTATGATTCATAAATTTTACTTATCAATAACAGTGCATCTGAACTTTAAATGAGAGCTGAAGTTTCTTGCACAAAGCTCAGCTTTATGCTGAAATGTTTAGGGGTGAAGGGTAATGTCTACAACTTACTTTAAAATGCATTTAAAAAAAAATGGATAAAAGGATGGATAGAGGACTAGATGTGATAAAGGGAATATAGCAAAATGTTAATTGTAGAATCTAGGTGATGGGTATATGGGTGCAGTGCAATGGGTTTCTCTTATATATGGCTTTTCTGGCCCTGGGTTTGTAATTCTGCCAAAAAATGGTTGGTTGGGCTACAGTCTACCCTGTGATTATTTTACACACCTTGCAGGGATTGGTCAAATTGCTATTCCAATTTGTTGTTGTTGTTGTTAGGTGCCATCGAGTTGGTTCCAACTCATAGCGATCCTACGTACAACAGCACAAAACACTACCTGGTCCTGTGCCATCCTCACAATCGTTGCTGTGTTTAAGCCCACTATTGCAGCCACTGTGTCAGTCCATCTTGTTGAGGGCCTTCCTCTTTTTTGCTGACCTTCTGCTTTACCAAGGATGATGTACTTCTCCAGGTACTAGTCCCTCCTGATAACTTGTCCAAAGTACATAAGAGAAGTCTTACCATCCTCTCTTCTAAGGAGCATTCTGGCTGTATTTCTTCCAAGACAGATTTGTTCATTCCTCTGGCAGTCCACGGTATATTCAGTATTCTTTGCCAATACCATAATTCAAATGCACCAATTTTTCTTTGGTCTTCCTATTCAAATAGTGGCTTGAAAGTCCACCCAACAGGATTGAGTGACTTGTGGTCCACCAAGGGGATTGGTTGGTTCATGGTCCTGCTGAGAAGGCCATGCCTTGCAATTGACAAGGAGTTGGGTTATGTAAGTGGGCAACCCCACGAAGGTTTTTTTAAAGAAGGAGACACAGAGAACAGGTGAGGAGGGAACCTCAAGACCAGAAGAGCCTGGAGCAGAGTGGTTTGGACCCAGGGTTCCCGTGAGGGAAACTTCTTGAAAGAGCTGTAATATGAGTCAAGGGCTGTAACACTGAAGACGGTGAGGTGCCCAGAAAGGCTCAACAGCAGAATCCAGAAGGGGGCCTGGTGGCAGAGAGCCAGTGGCAGAGAGCTAGTGGCAGAGCCGGCGGTGATGGCAGAAAGGTGCTTCTAGGAAAGCACCTAGGAGAGCTGAGCAAGCTGTTACACTGGCCATAAGTTGGGCCAGTTAGCAGGAGAATGGCCAGTGGCGGGGAGGTGGAAGATGGAGAAGCGTGCACAGCCAAGAGGGGGCAAGTATAGCTGAGAAGGGCCTCCTAGCATAGCAGAGAAGAGCCAAGAGAGCTGTCCTGGCTAGAAGTTGTCCTGATTGATGAAAATAATCCTGTCCTGAGTTGTATCTTGTTACTTCCAGGTTGATCCTGATCCTGAGTTGTAGCCTATTACTTCACTAATAAACCACATAACTGTGAGTATGGTCTGAGTTCTGTGTGGCCATTGCAATGAATTATTGAACCCAGCAGTGAAGTAGAAAGTGCTGTGGTGTGGAACGGCTGGTGTTAGAAATGATGAAAAAGTTGGAGAGTGGAGGTATGTCTGACCTCCGCCTCATAGGAACTAGCTTTGTGCTGATCCTGATTCTAACCCCTCAGGAATTTAAGCGATTCCTAGCGGTAGACTTCAATGGGTGTTTAGTGTAACAATCTTCCAACTCTTTTGAATGTTTGAAAAATTTTCTAGTAAAATGTTGGGGAGAGAAAAGCACATCCATTCATTCTTCAAACTGTAAAAAGACATGCTAGGTGCGTTTATACCTATCACATTTTATCTCAGACAACTCTATGAAGTTGGCATTAGCCCCATTCTGCCAATGGGGATTAGAAATGTTGAATGTTATGCTTAAGTGGGGATTGAGTTCAGCCTGGAATCTGAGTCTACCAACTTAGTAGAGGCTATGTGGTCAAGTAGAAATAACACTCAGTTCCCATTAAGGATAATATTTAGAACCCATGGGATCAGAAAAGCAGTCTTTTGTTCAGAGAGATATTTGAGGCTCCCAGAACCATTCCTATCATGGAGGAGATATCCAACCTTAGGACACGTTTAGTCTCACTCACCTTCTTGTTTATTCCCTAATGCTTTTTCAGTTCGAAAGTAGGGCAACAAATCTAAATGGGTCAGAAGGACCTCTCTTAATTGTTGACATGTATAAACATTAAAGATTAGACTGGAGACTATGCCTTGATTTCAACTCTAATCAAAAGTAATTTACTCCTTCTTTAAGGAAAAAAAAAGTTTCCAGCATTACATTTCCAGCTGCTGTGGCCTGGAATACTGATTTTTTTCAAAAGATGTAAAATCCAGGGAACATGAAAACATCTGAGAGAGAAAAAAAATTGCAATCACTAAACCAGACAGTCAAGACATGACCTAACCCTGAAGTTTATTAGGTTTGATACTTTTAGGGCGGGGGAGTTCCCCACCTGAGGCCACTGTCTCAAGCCAAACAATAGCTTGATACCAAACGTGTTTCCTTGTCTACTGCCTTATTTTGTTTCACCTGTACGGGGTACCGGATGAGCTTCCCCTAGTGGGGACAGAGCCAAGGTGTGCCCTCTATTCTGAGGGGCCCAAGTGGGTGTGGGTTCCTTTAATACGCTTTCTCATCTGGGTGAACTCACCACTGAGAAGCAGGAGATACAGGTCAGAAGGCGGAGCTCTCTAAGGGAAAGATCAATCCAGAAAGAAAAGCACTACTTAGGTACCAGTTACACGAATGGCTTGTGGTGAAGTAGCTCCAAGTAGAACTTAAAATAAGGGGCTGTTATGGATTGAATTATGTCCCCCTCAAAGTACACACTGAAATTCTAGCCCCTATACCTGTGGATGTAGTGTAATGTGATTGACACTAATGTAATCGCCTTCCATAATGCAATCTAATGTAATGTAATCTATCAGTTGAGGTCATAATACACGGTGGATTCTAAACCTAATCCCTTCAGATTTATATAATGAGCAGCACAGACACAGAAACACGCAGATGCACAGGGGAAGACAGATGTCATGTGAGGACTGCCAAGAAACTCTCAGGATTACCTACAAGGAAGTAACACAGCCGAGACCCTGATTTCGACTTTTAGCATCTAGAACTATGAGAAAATAAATTTCTGTTCTTTAAAGCCACCCACTTGAGGTATTTGTGTGCCAGCAGCACTAGGAAACCAAAACAGAGGCTCTGTGAGCAGAAGCCTTAGAAAATGGGTCCAGCTCTCAACAGACTTTCAGATTCCTGCTCCCGTCTTCCCATGGACCTTCTCTGTGCCCCCTCACCTCTGCTTGTTTCCTAACATAGAGCTTTGTTTTCCTTAAATTCCCACTTCCCTTCCTCATCCTCCAAATAAGCATAAGCCTTGCCTCTTCTGTTCCAGAGAAAACTCTGATCATCTCATGTGAACTCCATCACCCACACTCTTGAAATATATCTGGAAAGTACTGGAAGTGAACTGGGGGATCCTGGCCTCCCACAACAGGGATTAAGTCAGAAGGTGCTACTGCAGGCTGCTGCCACCTTGGCGTGTCATTGCCAGAGCGACAGATCCACTGGTGGGCTTCCAGGGCTTTCCCACACTCAGGACAGAGGAACGGCTGGCTGTCGGAATGGATGTGTCAGTGACTGAGGAGGAGAGAAGAGTAGGTAAAGCAGAAGCCGACGTCAGAGCAGGGATAGGGCTTCTCACCCGTGTGTGTGCATCTATGAATAGCCAGCAGGGAGGTGTAGGCAAAATAGAGGCCGAAGTCAGGACAGCTATAGGGCTTCTCGCCTGTGTGTACGCACTGGTGGATGGCCAACAGGTAGGGGTAAGTAAAGCAACTCTTGCAATTTGGGCACAGATAAGGCTTCTCCCCTGTGTTGGCCCATCTGTGGATGGCCAGGGAATCTCTCTGGCAGAAGCCGCACCCACAATTGGGGCAGGGGTAGGGCTTCTAGTCTGTGTGGTTGAACTGATGCTTGAGCAGGTACTTCAGCTGAGAGAAGCGGGCCTGGTCACAGGGGAAGGGCCGCTCCCCAGAGTGGACCTGCTGGTGATTGGCCAGGAGGGAGGGATAGCTGAAGTTTCAGCCACAGTCTAGGCAAAGGGAGGGTGGGCTGTGGGTTGGAGTATCCTTGAGCCAAAGCTTGATGGGATTCTGCCTAGGGGTGCAGGAAAGCTCTGGGCAGGCAGCTTTGTGATTGGGGCCAGGTGATGTGCTGAATGGCAACTGCTCCTGAAGAGACACCCCTTCATGCTCCATTTCTTTTTGCTTCAGACTTCTTCAGCCCTTCTTTCTCCTCATTCCCATACTTGGATCCTGAGATAGGGAAAAAGATAAAATCTGAAACTTACCAATACATTCTATACCTTGAGACTACTGCCAGTGTGGGGCTGGGGCCTGGGCAGCCTTCCCCTGGGAGGCAGCATAAATGGCTGAGTATATAGCCCCCTAGGAGTGAAGCTCAATGGCTGGGGCCTCATAAGGCCCTGGAAGCTAGCCTGGAGTAAGAGCAAATTCCATAGTCTGGAAGTTGTTTATACATGGAGGCTCTGAAAACTGGAGCTAAGTGGTGGAGGAGTCAACAATATTAAACACCTAGTCTGTGCCAAACATTGAGGGCAATGATGGTCCCAGCCCTCATGGAGCTTACAGTCTTGCACCTGTTTATGATCACTTTGCAAAACACCTTTAAAAGACCTCCTTTGGTGCCATTTGATGCCCTCACACACACACAAAACCATAACACTGTACTCTAGGTTCCCCACAGGAAGACCTTCTGGGAACAAACATTTATTATGACATGGCTGCAAGAAAAAATTTCATTTTAAAATCTCTGATGGAAAGCATCATCCATCCAAAACGTTTGTCTTCATTTTAACACAACAAAAGTCATTACAAAATGTGCTGAAAGCGCAAGCTCTATTTTCTATTAAACTGAGGTTTTCCAGTATGATTAAGTGATTCTGCAGTTCTCAATTTAGCTATTCTATTGGGCCAACTGGGCCACTTTGCAATGAGATAGGAACCGTGCAAGCAGACTCCCTACACGATGGGGATCTGGAGGGGGCAGTGTGTGCTGGGGATATGCGTTCGGGGTCGGGGCTTTAGGGGTTTCTCATAGGTCACTTACTGGGTGTTTGAAATAAAGTACCTGCTATCTTTCCCTTACCTCTGCTGACAACTCCTGGGTTCTCATCCTCCTCCTGAGCCTCTGGGCTCCATGCCTCCACCTCTCCTTCCACCCAAAAGTTGAAAGCAGGTTTAGGGCCTGAAAATCCTGCGGAGAGGAAACATCGGGCTCGCTGAGAACTCGAGACGGGAGAATGAGGCTGCTTCCTCAGCGTCCCACTTCTCGCCCATTCGCCCCCGGAAAGTTCAGTCTGTCCCCCTCCCCACAGATTCCTGAGGGGCCTTGCGGGACCGCCGGGCCTCACCGAGCGCGCCGAGATGGTCGTAAGGCTTCCGCATCATGTCCGGGTACAGGGCCCTCTGTGTGGGCCGCAGACACGCCCACTCCTCGGGAGAGAAGTATATACCGCCACGCCTGCGAAGCTTATGACCCCAGTTCTTTTTCTCCTCCGCCGCAGGGAGCCAGGCCGGGGGCAGTGTCTAGGAAACCCCTCAGCGCTTCACAAAGAGAGGATTCTGGGATTCGGGGATATACTATAATTTCCTTGCTTTCCTCAGAAATATCCATAAGGACCCATAGTCCTACCCTTATCAAAGACGGCGCCTTTCCGGCTTCAAAATACTCCATGCTCATACATACCACCGCGGAAACCAGAAGACAGGTTGGACCCCAAAAGCTCCTAATAAACCGATAGATGACATGCGCTGATTGGACAGCGCCGGGAGGCCAGGGAAAAAAAGGTCTGTGATTGGCCGTTCCGCAGCGGCCTGTTTGAAAGGCTTGCGGGTGAAGTGGCCGGGAACGAAGAGCGGCAGGGTATGTCCTGATATCACTTTTCCTGGACAGACACCCGGGCGAGGGGTTCCGAAGGGTGAAATTACTCTCTTCTGCAACTTACGTGAGAACTCTTACGGACTGATCTGGTTGGCCGGGGCTTGGAGGTCAGTAAAAGCCCAAGGGCTAGGACTGAGGCGGGTTCTGAAAGAGAAAAAATGAGGGGCGGCCTGCCCCAACCCTGTGCTCTGAGCACTCACGACAGGGGTAGTCCGGGGCGGGCCGCGGCGACAGGTTCCCATCCAGTATCAGATTTGCCACCCTAAGGTGACAGATGTCTCCTGTTTTACAGATGCAGAAGCCGAGGTACAGACAGGTCAGGGCGACAGTCATCTTCTGGCTCCCAGGTAAGTGTTTAGTGTAAAGCACTGCATAAACTAAGTATGTAATAAATATGAGCTTATAATTATTATTGTAATTATCAGCATCTTGTACCCCGTCTCGATCAGAAAAGCTGTGTTCAGATTCCCACCAAAACCAACCCCACTGCTGTTGAGTCGATTCCAATTCATAGCGACCCTATAGGACAGAGTAGAACTGCCCCAGAGGGTTTCCAAGGCTGTAAATCTTTACGGAAGCAGACTGCCACATCCTTCTGCCTGCAGACTGGCTGGTGGGCTTGAACCACCGACCTTTCGGTTAGCAGCGGAGAGCTTTAACCACTGTGCTGCCAGGCTCCCTGTGTTCAGATTACAGCTTATAAATGAGTAATAAAATTGGGAAGTTAATCAGATAGTCTCTTAACACTGTTTTTCAAGTTTTTCCAACTAAGAATTCATAAGGAAAGGAGACCTGTTGGCGCAAATGGTTAAGCACTCAGCTGCTAGCCAAAAGGTTGGCGATTTGAACCTACTCAGTAACTCTGCGGGAGAAAGACCTGGTGATCTGCTTCCATAGAGATTACAGCCAAGAAAACCCTATGGGGCAGTTATACTCTGTCACATGTGATCACTATGAGTCAAAATCGACTTGACGGCACCTAACAACAACATTCATAAGAATAGGTCCCGGGGTGACACAAATGGTTTGTGCAGAGGTACTAACCAAAAGGTTGGTGGTTCCACCCAGTGGCACTGGGGAAGAAAGTCCTGGCGATCTACTTCCATAAGATTACAGCCATTGAAAACCCTATGGAGCGCAGTTCTACTCTGAAACACATGGGGTCCTCCTAAGTTGGAATGGACTCAGCCGCAATGGGTTTGGTTTTGGATTCATAAAGACAGAAGAAGAAAGGGCAGAGATATAACAAAAAGCTGGCTAATCCCACAGTGAAGCCACTTTGAAGACATAGCTTCAAAATCCTTGTGAATTTGCATTCTGTTTTATAATATATCCAAATTTAAAAGAATATACAATCAAAAATAAGTTTCTCATGCTGAGTGAAATAAGCCAGTCATAAAAGGACAAATATTGTATGAGACCAGTATTATAAAAAAAACAAGAAAAAGTTTACACACAGAAAAAAATATTCTTTGATGGTTACCACAAAGGGAGGGGGAGGGAGGCTAAATTACTAAATAGATAGAAGACACGTGGTAAAGTTGGTGAAGGGAAAGGCAATACACTGTATGGGGGAAGTCAGCACAACAAGACGAAGGCAAAAGAAGACACTGAAAGGAACACAAGAACAAAGGGCAACTACAGCAATTACTATAACATAGACAATCTTGCAGCACCAGTTAACAAAAAATTTACAAAGGGATACGTAGGTATGCTAAAGAGGTGTGGAAGGATGTAAGGGAGTGCACCCACCTGCAGATATAGGTTAGGTTGTGGATATCTCTACATACATATTTGTAGATGTTGCATGTATACTAATATGGACAACAGAACACACAAGGGGTACAGTCATGGAAACTTCTTATGCACAACCAGACACCTCCCAGGACAAACATACTAGGCTTTGAAGGCAAAGGACCATAGACTCGGGGGACATCTACATCAACTGGCATAAGATAGCGCATAAAAACAATGTTCTATATCCTACTTTGGTGAGTAGCGTCTGGGGTCTTAAAAGCTTGCGAGTGGCCATCTAAGATACAGCTAGTCTCTTCCCATCTGGAGCAAAGGAGCGTGAAGAAAACCAAAGACTCAAGGGAGCAATTAGTCCAAAGGACTAGTGGACCACATGAACCACAGCCTACACAACCCTGAGACCAGAAGAACTGGATGGTTCCCGGCTACCACTACCAACCACTCTAACTGGAATCATAAGAGAGGGTTCCAGACAGAGCAGCAGAAAAATATAGAGCAAAAAATCAAATTCATAAAAAAAAGACCAGATTTACTGGCCTGACAGAGATTGGAGGAAACCCTGACACTAAGGCCCTAAGACATCCCTCTAACTTGAAACTACAGCCATTTCTGGAAACCACCTTCCAGCCAAGCAGTAGACAGGACTATAAGATAAAGAGTAACACCTAAAAAGAACCTGCATTACACGAGACCAAAAGGGCAACATTTGCCCAAAGTAAAGATGAGAAGGCAGGAAGGGGTCGGAAAACTAGACGAAAGGAAGTGGGGAACCCAGGGCAGAAATGGGGAGAATGTTGACACAATGTGAGGATTGCAACCAATGTCATGGAACACTTTGTGTACCATTTGTTGAATGGGAAACTAATTTGCTCTGTAAATTTTCACCTAAAAACACAATAAAATATTAAAAAAAAAAAAAGTTTCTCAAGGGTTGGAATCTCTGGAGTTAAAGTCAGTAAAGCACTTTGGAAAACTGGTAGTATCTACTAAAACTGAGTACCATATTTTTACGCAAATAATGCACGCATCATTTGCGTTAAAATACTGTATATATGTACCCTATGACCCAGCAGTTCCACTCCTAGGTGTATATCTTAACAGAAATGCAGATATGTTTACTGAAAGACATGCACTCAAATGTTCATAGCAACGTTAGTTGTAATAGCCAAAAACTGAACACTATCTACAACAATAAATGGATAAATTGTGGAATATTCATTAAATAGATTTCTGTTCAGCAGTGAGGAGCCTGGGTGGCACAAGCAGTTTGCGATCAGCCACTAACCTAGAAGCTCTGTGGAAGACAGGCCTTGTGAACTGCTTCCGTAAAGATTACAGCCAAGAAAACCCTATGGGGCAGTTCTACTCTGTCAAGTGGGGTCGCCATGAGTCTGGATCTGACTCAATGGCAGCGAACAACAACATTCAGCAATGAGAATGAATGATCTACAACTACATGCATAATATGGTTGAATCTTACAGACATAATGTTTAACAAAAGAAACCAGACCCAAAAGAGTATATATGATTTCATGTATATGAAGTATAAAAAGAGGCAAAACAAATCTAAGCTATACAAATAAGGACAGTGGGCTCCCTTTTTGCTTCTAGGGTGCTGATAATATACTGTTTCTTGATTTAGTTGCTGGTTCTTTGGGTGTGTTCAATTTGTGAAAATTAATTGAGTTGTACACTTACGATATGTGAACATATCTGTATGTGTATTATACTACAGTTAAAAAAGAAATCTTCCTACTGAAGTCCCTTTCTCTCCCCAGAGGCAACTTCTGTTAACAGTTTTCTTGTGTATTCGTCCTGAGGTAATTTAGGTACAAAAAAGCACCTATACCTTTTGATTTTCACAAACACTATACTAAAGGCACTGTTCACATTGCTTTTTTTTTCATTTACTGTATCTTGCAGATTGGTCAACTTTTGCATATATACATCTGCTTTTTTTTTTTTTTTAACGGCTGCATAGTATTGCATTATAGGGATGAAACAATTTATTTCGCCAGTTGTCTAGTAATGGAAAATTAGTTTCTTTCCAGTCTTATTATAATAAACAATGCTAAAATGCATAGCCTTAGAAATACTTATTTGAACACATATATAAGCCAACCTATAAGTTACTAGAAGTAGAATTGCTAATTGAAAGAGAAGACTAGTGTTTTAAACCAATTACTGATTTAAATTAGGTAACGTTTCTCACAAATCCTAAAAAAAAAAAAAGTTGATATATCCAGAAAATACACTATGTATTTTTTGTACCTTCAAACTCTGCCCACTTTTGAGAAGCATGGTCTTAAGGTCTTTCATTTATTCAGATAATGTGGTAGACAGAATAATGGACCCCAGAAATGTCCTAATCTCTGAAACCTGTGAATATGTTACCTAACTTTTGTAAAAGGAACTTTGCAGATGTGATTAAACTAAGGATCTTGAGATAGGAAGACTATTCTGGATTATCCGAATGGATCCAACGTAATCACAAAGGTCCTTATAAGAGGGAGGCAGGAAGGTCGAGTCAGAGAAGAAGATGTGATGACAGAAACAGAGGTAAGAGAGATGCCATTGCTGGGAAGGGACCACGAGCCAAGGAATGCAGGCAGCCCCTAGAAGGTGGAAAACGGAAGGAACAGATTCTTTCCTACAGCATCCAGAAAGAACACAGCCCTGCCTACAGCTTGATTTTAGTCCTGTAAGATCCATTTTTGGACTTAGACCTACAGAACTGTAAGATAATAGATTTGGTTGTTTTAATCCACCAAGTGTGGTAATTTGTTACAGCAGCAGTACAGGTACAGGTAACATTGATGAGTAATTACGTCTGAGCCTTGTCAAGTACTGTACTTGGTGTGTGGGCACTCTCCTAGCTCATCTACGCAGACAGAGCAGGAAAAAAATGTAGAACAAAATTCACACTCACAAAAAAAGACCAGACTTACTGGTCTGACAGAGACTGGAGAAACCCTGGTAGTATGGCCCCTGGACACCCTTTCAACTCAGTAGTGAAGTCATTCCTGAAGCTCACCCTTCAGCCAAAGATTAGACGGGCCTATAAAACAAACAATAACACACGTAGTTCAACCACATATACGAGACTAAATGGACGCACCAGCCCAAAAGCAAAGACAAGAAGACAGGAAGGGACAGGAAAACTGGACAAGTGGAAATGGGGAAACCAAGGTCAAGAAAAGAAGAGTATTGACACATCGTGGGTTGGCAACCAATGTCACAAAACAGTTTGTGTATTGTTTAATGAGAAACTAATTTGCTCTGTAAACTTTCACATAACGCACAATTAAAAAAAAAAATGGAGATCTAAAAGACAAGCAAGTCTCAAAGATATTCTGCTGAGTGAAAAAGCCTTACACAAAAGACTACACACTGTATGATTTCAATTATTTGAAATTTTATAATAGGCAAAATAATCTATGGTGGGGACAAAATTAGGACAGTAGTTGTCTCTGGTGGGGTGGGAATGGAAATTAACTGGGAAGGGACATGAGGGAGCTTTCTAGGATGATGGTAATGTTCTGTATCTTGATCGAGGTTTTGGTTACAAAGGCGTATGC